TATATAATAACCTAATTTCCTTTTCTAATCTAATATGACTATTATAATATATTATATTATATAATACACATAATTACAATATATATATATATATAACCATATATATAACACCTCTTTTTTTTATAACAAATATAAATATATAAATATTTAGATTAATTATATATAATTAAATAACACATTAAATTAATTAATTACCACATTAAATATCACATTAAATTCTCATGTGACCACACAATTAATAAAGCCAAAAAATAAAATAAGATAATAATAATCATAATAATAAATAAATGACTTAAGAAAAAATTAAGGTCGCTACAGTAGTACTGTATTCTTAGAAATTTTCTTTACTTACACTTTTTTCTTTTTTCATTGGTAACTTTTTTTTTTGTTTGAACAATTCTAAGTTTCAATTTGGCCGATGTGCCTACTTTTGTATCCGAACAAGTTATCTTCTTTTGCTAAGCTGAAGTGCTTTTTTGTCTTTGAACAAGTACCACCTTCTGAATGCAAGTTTTGTATTTCCTTCTAAGTGCTGAATTTTTTTTACTGCTTTCCTTCTATGCCATGTATGTTTCCACACTTAGAATATTATTACAATTCTTCCAAGTACACCTTAACTGTGTAATTACTTCGGGTTGGCATACCTCAGACAAGTATCTCCTCAGATAAAAACCCTTACTGTTTTCCTCAGCCAACACTTAAAAATATAAAAATATTTTTACAAGTGTTGTTTCTTTACTTGTATCTGCTGTCTTTAATCAATACTTTATTCTTTTAACCCTTCCTAGTTTTGACAAACTATTTGGTTATTTCGGGTATCAAATACCTCGGGTATCCCCTTATCTAGTTACCTCGAATGACTCCTTGTAAATTGTTATAAAAAATTTCAACAAGTGTCAACCCTAATTCCTGCTTCCTGCCCCCTAATGTGAACCTAAGTACCACTTATGTTCACATTAAGCACGCATCAATGTTTTTTTCCGAAGTCAAATTCAAACAAATCTTAGTCGAGGTTTTCTACCTTGCTGCCTTCTGTTAATCTAACTAGTGCAAACTTAGCTCAACTCTACCGTCATGGCAAGTCCAAATTACTTATCATATTTCTTTCGAAAACATCGCCAACTATATCGTATGGCAAGTATAATTCAACTCTGCCATATGATAAGTCTAAGTTATTGGTCATTTTTCATTCGAAAACATCGTTAACTTAATTCAACTCTATCGTATAACAAGTATAATTCAACTCTACAATATGATAAGTTTAAGTTATTCGTCATGCTTCAATCGAAAGCATCGCCAACTTAGTTCAACTCTATCGTATGACAAGTATAATTTAACTCTACCATATGATAAGTTTGAATTATTGGCCATGTTTCAATCGGAAACATCGTCGTAAGACTGTTCAGTCTTATCGCACAAATTTCAAATTAATAAAAACAAAACCAAACTAGCCCTTTATTAAGCTTCACCTAATAAAATCATGACATAAATCTCAAAAAAATAATAATAATAATGATAAAAAAAACTTCAGATTGCAAGTGTTCTATGGTCTTAGCAACTCCTTGTCATCACTGTCCTCCAGTCGATATGCTCCATTGCCAATAATCGAGATGATTCTGTAAGACCCTTCCCAGTTTAGGCCAAGTTTGCCCTCCCTGAGATCCTTATTATTACCGGTGACTTTTCTAAGGACGAGGACCCCAACCTTGAACTCCCTTGGGTTGACCTTATTGTTATAAGCCTTAGCAAGTTGCTGTTGGGATGCCCCCAACCGAATTGTTGCTCGCTCCCTTATTTCTTCCAAGAGGTCTAGATCTCGGGCCAAGAATGCCTCGTTGGTCCCATTCTCCACTCCTTGAGTTCTGATTCCAAGGATGCCAACCTCCAATGGGATGGCTGCTTCAATGCCATATGCCATGGCAAAAGGGGACTCCCTAGTTAATATTCTTGACGTGGTTTGATATGCTCACAGAACATTGGGCAATTCTTTCACTCACTTGCCCTTAGTTGCTTCCAGCCTCCTCTTGATCCTATTTAAAATGGTCATGTTGGATGCTTTTGCCTGATAATTACTCTAGGAGAAACTAAGAGTAGAGTAATGGTTTTTTATTTTGTATTTTGCACATAAGCTCTTAATTAGCTTACTGTCAAACTGAGTGTCATTGTCTGTTATAATGGCTCTTGAAATCCCAAACATGATGATTATGTTATTCTAGATGAAGTTCTTCACATCAATATCTAGAATCTTCATGAAAGGTTCAGCCTCTACCCATTTTGTGAAGTAGTTAGTAGCTACTAGCAAGAACTTTCTCTACCTAGTTGCCTGTGGCAGTGGTCTCACTAGGTCCATGCCCTACTGAGGAAACGGCCAAGGACTAGATACTGGATTTAAATCAGTAGCTGGTTAGTGTATCAATGGTGCAAACCTTTGATACTTTTTACACTTCCTCATGTAAGTTTCAATATCCTTCTACATGTAGGGCCACTAGTATCCCTAACTGATGGCTCTATGAGCCAGTGACCTGCCCCCTATAAACTCCTTCATGGATTTCATACAGAGGTCTAATGAAGGATCTTCTATACAGATGGCCATCTGGTGATAGGCAAAACCGGGCTGACTTCAACCTGGTTTTGTGTGCCTCATTTCTGTCCTCTGGCAGTCTACCCTCTTTGAGGAACACAACTATGGTGTCAATCCAACCAGGACTCATTTCCACACACATTGCTTCGTATTCCGTTATCAGAGATTCTACACTTGGGGCTGACAAATAATCAACCATTATTGTCCTAGCCTCACCTGATTTCATAGCGCTAGCTAGGTTAGCTAAGGCATCGGTATGGCTATTGTTATCTCGACTAACCTGCTGTAGCCGACAATTTTCAAACAGTGTTAGCAGCTTGACAACCTCCTTGACATAGGTTATCATTCTTTCATCTCAGGCTGCATACTCGCCCGTTGCTTTATTCACAATAAGCTGGTAGTCACAAAAGACTACTACCTCATCGGCTTCTATGTTTTAGTCCCGTAATCAGCGCCTCATACTCTACTTCGTTATTTGAGGCCTTGAACCCTAAACAAATAGACTGCTCAATTATCTAGCAATACCAAAACCACTTCTACCCCCGCTCCTTGACGATTTGAACTTCCATAAACAAATAGGTGGAAAGAGTCACCGATATAGATGTCACAGGGCTTTGATTTCTCTTCCTTTTTCTGTTTTGCTGGAGTGGGGTCCTTTTGCCTCAGTTTGGTTTCTCCTGGTTCCCCTGGACATCCTAAACCTCGACTTATTGGAGCGACCTGCTTAGCTGAAGTTGGGCTTTTCAAATCAATGATAGCCTTGATCTGATTTGGGCTTGCTTCTATGCCCCTTATTGCGACCAAGTATCCTAGGAACTTACCAGACTCGACTCCAAATGCACATTTTGAAGCATTGAGTCAGAACCGATATGTTCTTAAGATATAAAAGATTGCCATCAAATCGGCCAAATGGTTCCTAGGCTCCTTGGTCTTCACGACCATGTCATCAATGTAGACTTCTACTGTCTTCCCAATCAGATGTTTAAACATCTTGGTTACTAACCGGTAGTAGGTTGCTCCTGCATTTTTTAACCCGAAAAGGCATTACCCGATAATAATAGAGTCATTTTCGGGTGATGAATGTCGTCTTCTCTTTATCTAAGGCATACATTACTATCTGATGGTAGCCTCTCTATGCATCCAAGAAACTCATTCTCTCATGCCCTGAAGTGGCATCTACTAACTGATCAATCTTAGGCAGTGGGAAACTGTCTTTGGGGCAAGCCTTATTTAGGCTGGTGAAGTCCACATAGACCCTCTACTTGCCGTTTTTCTTTTTCACTATCACTGTGTTGGACAACCAAGTTGGATAATGTATTTCTCGGATGGCCTGGGCTTCCAATAGCTTGTCCACTTCCTCATCAACTATTTTCACATGTACTAATGCCTGCCTCCTTACTCACTGGATGACAGGTTTAGCCAACCTGTCTATATTAGACATATAGCAAGTGACCTCGGGGTCGGTGCCAGGCGTCTCATAAGGCGTTCAGGCAAACACTTCTATGTTTACTTGCAAAAAAGCTTCTAAGTCTCTTTTCTCCTCATCGGCTAAGCCTGAGCCAAAAAAGAAAAAGTGCTCCCTATCATCTTCCTGGACCAGAATCTTCTTCAAAGCCTCTTCACTCTTGTCGGCTAGTTCTTTGTCGACGTCATCTAGGATCTCCATGTCATCGTCTTCAATTTTAACTGTTTCTGATTCTCGCACATTACAGGTGGACTTCATTGTTGCCATAGAGCAATTTTTTCCCTGTACCTGATCCCCTCTGATCTCTTCAATTCCATGCTCCGTTGGAAACCACAACAGCTGGTGCAGCATTAAGGGAACAACCCTCACTACGTATAATCACGGTCTTCCCAAAATAACATTGTAAGGGAATGGGGTATCAATTACTGTAAACTTTATGCTTATATTCTTCGTGCCTGTTTGCACCTCTAAATTCGTGGCTCCTAAAGGCCATGTTGGTGTTCCGTTGAATCCAACCATCGGGCTGCTGGATTGTTCTAGGTCATCTGGGTGAAGGTTAAACTTCTTGTAACATCTAACACACATGATGTCACAAGAACTACCTTGATAAACCAGTATGCGCTTCACCTGGCACTCTCCAATTTTCAGCGTTATCACCATGGCATCGTTATGTGGATACTGCACCATTCGAGGTCCATCTGCTTGCTGTAGTGGTGGTGGTGGTGGTGGAGGTGGTGCTGCTCGTGCTTGGGGCAGCCTTGCTTGCTCTTCCCTTGTCCTGGCTTCATCTACTAGGTCTCTTAAGTGACCCTGTCTGACCAGATCCTCCAAGTGTGTCTTCAGAGCCCTATATCCTTGAGTCAAGTGCCCATCTTCATTATGGTAAACACAATGATTTCCAAGGCTCCTTTCCATAAACTCACCAGAGATCTTCTCTGGTGCTCTGTAATACGGTTAGTTCCCAATCCTTTCCAGGACTTTGTAGACCGGGATCCTGAATACAATGGTAACTGCTTGTGCAGCCCTTAACCCTGTTTCCTGCTTGTTAAAACCAGCATTACCTCGACTTCGCTTTGACAAGCTGTTTCTCTTATCCTGTTTTGGTGTCTTCGTCCCTGGCGTGTCCTCTTTTGCTCTGGCATACTTCTCAATCTGTGCCATTAGCTCCTCCATACTTTTTAATAGAGTTTTTACCAGAGATTCTCGAAGCGGGCATTCATCCTCTAAGCTGTTTTTGAAAGATACGATCGCCAATTCCTGGTTGCATGCCAGTATTCGGTTAAACACCTCATAATACCGCTTGGCGTAAGCCTTGAGGCTTTCACCCTCGCTAATGTTCAAAGCCAGCAGGGAGTCTACCTTTAGTGGCTGTAACTTGTGTTTAACAAACCTGGCCATAAACATCTCGATCAGGCCTTTCCAACTCTTTACAGTTCCTTTCAGCAACTTGTAAAACCATTTCGATGCGATTTCTCCAAAAGATGAGAGGAACATCTTGCACAGCAACTGCTCATTCTCGTTATACAAAGCCATTGAATTTCAATGTAAGCCGATATGAAAGTTTGGATCAGACTTACCGTCATAAATCTGGAACTTCGGCATATGGAACCTCTTTAGGGCCTCAAACCTATCCAACTGCACTGAGAACGGTATTCTAGGCTTGACTGGGGATGTGACCTCAACATCGAGTCACTTCCTCTAGAGGTAGTCTCTTAGATCCTCCTTCGTTTGACCGGGAGCTCGGTTATCAAGAAATTTTAGCATTTTTGGCGTGCTGCTCCAGGTGTCATTGTGTGTGTCCTCTTGGACTTTTCTTCATTCACCGTATCAAAACACAAGCCTTTTCCCTGGACATGCTGAGGTTCTCTAACATAAGTTCCGTTGGTCCAAGGTATCTTATGTGACTCGTCTCTCACTGCCTCTGTTCGCCCGACATCCTATGAAGGCCGATGTGAGCGCTCCTTTTCCTTGCCATGCTGCGGGACTAATGGGATTGTTTTCTGCTCCGCTTTTTGGGGGTCAGTCTTTGCCGCTGGTACCGGTGTGTCTTGTAATGGAAACGATGGTTACATCACATTGTTCTTCATCATGAAGTTGATAACCGACTGTAAGTCTGCCAACTTGTTCGCCATCCCTTTCATCTCGCCGTCCCTCATCAGGCATCTATCCTTCCATACCTAGAGGTCGCTTTTGTTGTAGTATTCATCTCGCCCAGCTTTCTTCGGGGAATTCCCCTCTTTGCCGACGTCCTTCTCCCTAGGATTCGGATCCTGTGCTTCTTCTTTACGATTTTCTTTCCCGACATTAAGATCTCTGTGTTCACAACTATCACTGTTAATGTCATTCCCAAACTTTTCTTCCTGTCCGGTGTTGGCCATCTATTCTCCTTAAGTTCCCATAGACGGTGCCAAATTGTGGATGTTGATTTCTGACCACACAACCAAATGGGGGACTCAGCTGGAAAGTATCGGCAGAATAGATAAAGCCCAATAACCTGCACAAGAAAATGAGAATCCAGCGGTGGTTTGTCCACTAGAGAGCATTCCGACGATTAAGTCAGTAATCAATATCTCTCAAAGATAGCTAATTGTACTTAATCTCACAAAAAAAAAAAAACCTACCTCAGACCCACGAGGGTTCCTTGTTTTTATAACCAGCAGTGACCTAATCCCATTAGAAGCCTCACTTCAATGGACTTAGGCTTAATGCTCATCATGGACCCTCATCTAGATAGAGATAAACTCTTTTTGAGCGTTATCTTTATCCAGACTCAGATCCTCCTCTGTTCTAGGACTCTTGTCCCTTATCTGCTTATCTTGGATTCTAGTATCTCCGTAGACAACCTCAGTCTAGCCGAAATCATCTCGGCGCATGACCAAGCCACATGGCACATTGGCTGACACTTCGGCGTCACTTTAGTCACGTGCTGTCATTCACAAAATACATCCCCACATGGAACATATATGCTTATTTTGTCACTAAATTAATCTTGAACGTTATGTTTGGATTGAGTGATTTGGAGAGAAAAGAAAAAAAAAATGGAGAGTTATGTATTTCTCTTACTTGTCTGGATAACTTAAGTGAAGAAAAATTAAGGGAAATTGAGAGAAACATAGAAAAACTCATTTATCTTATAACCCTTATTTTCAATCTTCCCATAAGTGGAGAGATTGAGAGAGAAAAGAAACCAATATTTTCATAACACCAATTTTGTCCCTATAAAAATAAAATAAAATGATTGAAAATATAAAAAGGTTATTTTGATAATATAACATAAAATAATTTCTTTTCTTTTCTTTTTTTCTCTTATAAAATCTAGCCAAATAAGAAGGAGAGAAATCATAATAATTTCTTTTCTTTTATTTCTTACTTATCCAAACAAGAATGAGAGAAATCACAATCATTTCATTTCATTTCATTTCTTTTCCCTTATTACTTAAGTAATCCTTTATTTTCTTTTCTCTCCTACGTTCCCAAACATAGTGTTAAAGTTAAATATATATTTAATGATACAGCGTGTTCCAGATGGAACGGGTCAGATTGATCCACGCTTTCCAAACCGGTGCCCGAGGTACCAAGCCCACAGAAAGACCTGCACAAAAGTTCAACGGGGAACGAGGAGTCTCCTAGCGAAGCCTCCGACGAGCAAGTTAGAAAGAGAGATGAAATGTAGAGATAGATTAGTGATAAAAAAGCTTAATCATTTCCTTATCTTCGATGCCTGTTTATATTCTCTGCTAATCATTTCGTTGTCCCTTCCGACCTGTCACCTTGGCCGAAAGTCTATGCTCTAGCTTACCTTGTTCATGGTGAGGCCGTTCTATTCCGACGGGGAAGGGTTATCGCAATAAATGCTGCAAGAAAACTCATTAATGGCTGATGTGTAGTGCAATAACTTTGCATGATTTTTGTCTGCTGATGTGGGTGATTCTCTACTTGCCAAGTGTTTAGATGTCATTGGTGTTTGGTGTAACGTTGGGTTTCACGAGTGTTCGACTTTAGTATTTGAATCATGGATTGGACCTTAGGTGGTGAGTCATATTCTTTATGGATTTACTCATGTCAATATTGATTTCTCAAACCTCTTAACATATTTTCATTTCCTAAAGGTTTTTTTTTTTTCTTTCACAAATTACGTTGTTAAATTGTCAAAATTTTTAAGTACTTGAAAATATGTTCACTACATAAATGCATAGATCATTGTTACACCAAATCATAATTTTTAAGGTCTCGTTTAGTAATTACATATTTTAGTCAAAAATTCGCTATAGGTTATCACATTACTCTTTACTTTTTTATACATTGTTTTTGTAAAAAAAAAAAAACTAAAATAGTATATTCTCAAACGAGACCTAAGTGTGCCTTAAATTCATACATTCTCTTTTCTCATCAAATCCCTTTGGAAAAAAAATAAAAAATAAAATTATGGTAAAGTTGTTTTACCCATTTTTTTGTGAAATACATTATCTGTAGTCTTTTCTCTTTTGAAAATTTCATCAAATTTAAGTAAAAATACGGCTATTGAAATTATGGTGAAATTTTCAAATCTCTCTTAATTTGATATAAATTTTATGAGTTAATTGAAATTTAGAAACCGCTTTTAATTTTTATATATCAAATTTGATGAAAGAATTAGTAAAATATTAGAAATGCTTTGAAAGATTCTTGTAGGCCGTGTTTAAATTATAAATTTTGATAGAAGTTTCGAAATGAAAAGAAAAATATAAATAGAATGTGAATGAAATATAATTACATTTTATTTATTTATTTTTTCTTTTTCAAATCTATTTAAATTTATTATCAACTTAAAGTCTTAGGCCCCGTTTGTTTTGGGTTATAGCAACGGGATTAGGATTACTAGTACCTTGAGATTAGTATATGGGTTGTTTGTTTTGAGAGATAGCCTAGGGACTATTAATACCTTGGGACTAACTAATACCTTGGTATTACTAATACCTTGTTTGTTTTGAGAGATAGGGAGGGTACTACTAATACCTTGGTATTACTAATACCTTGTTTGTTTTGAGAGATAGGGAGGGTACTACTAATACCTTGGTATTACTAATACCTTGTTTGTTTTGAGAGATAGGGAGGGTACTACTAATACCTTGGTATTACTAATACCCTTGGGACATGTTTGATTGGAAGGATTAAAGCATGGGATTAGGATTATTAATCTGTGGGCCCAATCATCCTATGTTTGTTTTGACATTTTGGTTTAGGACTATTAACCCAATGAATAATTAATCCAACAAATTTGTAGGATTATTAGTAATGGGGTAGGGGTGCTACTAATCCCCTCACTATCAATCCCCTCACTAACAATCCCCTCATTATTAATCCCCTCACTATCAATCCCCTTCGGCCATGTTTGTTTGGGCGGACTGGATTAGCATTCCCATGACTAATAGTCCTAGGACTATAAATTTGTTGGATTATGTATCCTATCTTAACTAATAGTCAAATTTAAAATAATTAATTCCTACTTCAATTGTTTAACCAAACATCAGATTAATAATTTTATTGGACTATTAGTCCAATCCCAAGCTCATGTCTACCCAAACAAACATGACCTTCATTCTATCTCTGAAAACAAACGACCCTCACTAACAATCCCCTCACTATTAATCCCCTCCATTTCATCTCTGGAAACAAACGAGACCTTAAGGTTTGTGGGGTTGTGAAACATTTCAAATCAACCGACAATTGCTTTGTAAGGGCTGAGCAACTAGACATTGGGCCCATTAGAATGAGCTCATCTCACTCAAACACCGACCCAACGAATTAAAAGAAAATCTCAAAACTCAGCCCAAGAAATACACACACAAAAATGTTGAAAATTTCAGAAAAAAGTTAATTTGATTCGCGATGATATGATATGATAAGTGCTGATTTTAATTCATTAGACGTTAAATTATATGTGTGATCTCATTATCTTATCACATCATTGTGAGAAAATCTAGGAATCCAAATTGTCAATTTCTAGTATTTTTTAAAAAAATAGTATATTTGTTGTGATTAATTATCTATAAATTGGATTAGAACCTAGTATTTAGAAGGATGTTTGCAAAAGGGTTTTTGGCATATATATATATATATATATACTAGTGGTCACCCGTGCGATGCACAGGATTTTAGAAAGTCAATAATTACTATAAAAAAATTTGTTATTTGTTTATATTTCTTAATATTTTTATTTAGTTTGTGTATATAAATCTTATTGCACATCATTAAACATATTTAATATTTCACATTATTGAAAAGGAAAATGTCTCGTAATTCAAATTTTGTGGCTCAAAAGTGGCTCAAATGGCTAAAACGACGTCGTTTTGGCCATTTTTATGTTGTTCTGTACTCAAAACGACGTCGTTTTGGCCATTTGAGCCACTTTTGAGCCACAAAATTTGAGTTACGTAGCATTATCGTTATTGAAAATTTTAAAAAAGTATCATACATTAGTAAATCATCACATATATAATAGCTAATTTATCTAAGAATTACTTCAGAAAATCAAAAGTAGAGTAACAAAGGCA